ATGGCATGTATATTTAGAAAACCCCATCATCTTAGCCCAAAAACTCTTTAAGCTGATAAGCAACTTCAGCCAAGTCTCAGAATGCAAAATCAATGTGCAAAAATCACAAGCATTTCTATACACCAACAACAGACAAGTAGAGAGCCAAATCATGAATGAACTCCCATTCACAATTGCTATAAGAAAATAACATACCTAGGAATACAGCTAATAAGTGAAGTGAAAGACCTCTTCAATGAGAACTAGAAACCACTGCTCAAGGAAACAAGAGAGGACACAAACAAATGGGAAAACATTCTATCCTCACAGATAGGAAGAATTAATGTTCTGAAAATGGCCTTACTGTCCAAAGTAATTTATAGATTCAATGCTATTCCTATCAAACTACCATTGACATTCTTCACAGAGTTAGAAAAAACTACTTTAAATTTCACATGGAACCGAAAAGGAGCCTGTATATCCAAGACAAACCTAAGCAAAATGAACAAAGCTGGAGGTATCATGCTGACTTCAAACTATACTACAAGGCTGTAGTAACCAAAACAGCATGGTACTGGTACCAAAACAGATATACAGATCAATGGAACAGAACAAATACCTCAGAAATAACACCATATATCTACAATCATCTGATCTTCAACAAACCGGACAAAAACAAGCAATGGGGAAAGGATTCCCTACTTAGTCAATGGTGCTGGAAAAACTGGCTAGCCATATGCAGAAAACTGAAACTGGATTCCTTCCTTACACCTTATATAAAAATTAACTCAAGATTGATTAAAGACTTAAATGTAAAACCCAAAACCATAAAAACCCTAGACGAAAATCTAGGCAATACCATTCAGGACATAGGCATGGGCAAAGATTTCATGATGAAAATGCCAAAAGCAATTGCAACAAAAGCCAAAATTGACAAATGGGATCGAATTAAACTAAATCATTTCTGCATAGCAAAAGAAACTATCATCAGAGTAAACAGGCAACCTACAGGATAGGAGAAAATTTATGCAATCTACCCATCTGACAAAATTCTAATACCCAGAATCTACGAGGAACTTACACAAATTTACAAGGAAAAGAAATAAACAAAAAATCAAAAAGTGGGCAATGGATATGAATAGAAACTTCTCAAAAGAAGACATTTATGCATTCTGAATTAGTATTTTTATATGAAGTCAAGTATGGATACAAGTTCACTGTTTTGCATATTGAGATCCAACTGTTCCTACACCATCTGTTGAAAAGACTATTTTTTCTCTACTAAATGTGTCAAAAATCAGTTGTTCGTATATATGTGGGTCTATTTCTGGGATCTCTGTTCCATTGATCTTTATGACTTGATTACTAAAGAAGTCTTTATAATAAGTCTTCAAATCAGGCAGGGTTATTCTTCCAACTCTGTTTTCTCTTGAAAGTTATTCTGGCTATTCTAGATCTTCTGAATTTCCATATGAATTTTTTAATCAGCCTGTCAATTTCTAAAAGCCCGCTGGAATTTAAACTGAAATTGTGTTAAATTCATAGATCAAGTTGGGAAGAGTGTACATCTTAATAAACAATATTAAGTCTTTCAACTGATGAACAAAATTGGTTGATTTAGATCTTCTTTGTTCTCAACAATATTTTGTAGTTTGCAGGTTTTGCACATCTTTTGTTAGATTTATCCCTAAGTCTGTCATCTTTTTATGCTGTTTTAAGTGGTATTTTTGAATTTCAATTTCCAATTGCTTGTTGCTAATAAAGTACACAGAAATACAATTAATTTTTTGTATGTTTATCTAGTATACTGAAATCTTCCTCAACTCTTTTATTAGTTATAGTAGCTTTCTTTGAAAACTCAAAACAAGACACCACAATATACCTATTAGCATGACTAAAATTAAGAAGACTGACTGTAACATGTGTTGGCAAGGTTGTAGGGGGAAGTAGAACTTTCAAATACTACTGGTAGGAATGCAAACATTACAACTACTTTGAAAAATACACTGGCAATTTCTCAAAAGCTAAACATATACCTACCATATGATCTAGGCATTCCAATCCTAGTATTTATCCAAGAGAAATGAAAGGATATGTTCATGCAAAGACTTGTACATAAATGTTCATAGCAGCTTAATTTATAGTATTAAAAAATTAGGAATCACCCAAATGTTCATCAGCACGTGAATGGATAAAGCAACTGTAATACACCAATGGAATATTAATCCATAATAAAAATGCAAAGATATTAATACACACAACTCTGATTAATTTCAAATTTCTATAACATAAAACTCTTTCAAAGTATACAATGCAGTGGTTTTTAGTACACTGACAAAGTGGCACAACAATCACCACTAACTAATTCTAGAACATTTTTATCACCCTAAAAAGAAATCTGTATCCACTAGTAGTCACTCCACACCCCAGTCTCATAGAATATACTTAATTTCCAGATGACAATGTATTTCATGTGTTTATCCCAAATCAAGCCTCAAAACCTTTCAGGTTTGAAAGATTGCTTTTAAGTTAATTTCAAGGGTCTGTGGTATAAACACTACTATTCTTCATCGTTTTATTCTTTCTTATGAAAAACAACCATATTGATAAAGACACAATTTTAGAGATAATCCAACTGTAGTGTCATTTAGTATTATAACTACAATAGTTACTGCAAAATTATGACTTTTATTCACGTATTAATTTCACATATAGTAATTTAGTTTTCCTTGGTTTCTCCTTATTAGTCATAAATACCCGGATGGGTCAAGAAAGAACTACAGTGGTGAATGAAAAAGACATGATGTCTTTGCAAATATTAAACCACACATCAACTGCAAAGCTTGAAAAATTAGATTACTTCAATCTACTTTGAGATCATTCCACCACAAACTATAGTTTCTCAAAAACTTTTTAACAATCTTTATAAAAACTTTAGGTAAAGCCAACAGCACACTAGAAGGCTAATGGTTTTACACTCTGCATTATACCAACTCAGAACATGATGCTCAATAATTGTGCCATTTTTTTTAAAGAATCACCATTTGTATTACAGCATCTATTACAGAAAAAATGATAATCATAATCCAATCAAAATTTAGCAATGCTTTTAATACTGAAAGGAGTGTCAGTGATGACAAACATACTTAATAAGCCTTGGAGTAATATACATCAGAATTTAATGATTCCATAATCCCACAAACTATTGTTGGTACACAGATACTAAATGTGATACAGCAAAACAGTAGCTGATACTTGAAATTTTTACACTTCTCTGCTTAGATCATACTGTGAAAACAACACACAAGTATCACTCACTGTTTAAAAAGTTAACTTTTTTTTTTTTATGAGACAAGTTCTTGCTCTCTCACTCAGGCTGGAGAACACTGGTGCAATCACAGCTCACTCACTGCAGCCTCTAACTTGTGGGCTGAAGTGATCCTCCCATTTCAGTTTCCCAAGTACCTGGGACTGCAGGCACATGCTACAATGCTAAACTTCTATTTTGTTTTAACTTTCTTTACTTCTCAATTAATTTTTATTTTTTTAGAATGAGAGGAGATCTGTTCTGTTCATCCAGGCTGGTCTCAAACACCCGGCCTCAAGCAAAACTGCCTGCCTTCACCTCCCAAGTAACTGGGCCTTCAGGAGCCAGCCACTATATTCAGCTCAAAAGTTTAACTTCTTATATAACGTATTCTAAGCATACTAAATCACAAGTTAGAGACATTTCCAATTATTTTCCTAAGCAAAACCTATATTTGAGTAGCATATAACTGTAATGCTATCAAAGCCTAATTTGTGAAGGATAGATTTTCTTAATTTAAAAAATATGGAATAAGCATAACTATATAACTAAAAATCAAAGACAGGAAAATTCAGAAAGAACATGTAATGCACATGTCTTGGATACTATTTTGGCATAACTGCTTTCAAAGCACAACCCAAAAGTAAGCAGACTCTTACTATCTGAAATGGATACAATCAAATACTTCTGAACCTGTAAAGTACGAATACCACTATATATGTCCACTCAGAAAAACTATTGGGTACCCAGTGAAAAGAAAACCACCAAGCCTCATTAAAACACAATATTGGGCAGTTCTATGTGCACTCACTAGCTATTCAAAATTTTGCCTGAAAAAATACGATGTACTGCATTATGGACTCGGCAGCTGGTTAACAGTCAAAACCATGGACATTAAATGCTTGACTGTCAAGGTCCTGTAATAAATGTTTGAGGAAAGAATGAACAAAGAAATACATTTCTAAAATCTGCTAGGCATAGTATCAACATGGGATTTGTCATCTTAAAAGCATCATTTCTCTAGAATATTTCCTAGAAAAAAGAAAATTTAACTTCACATAAAGACCTGTACATTAATGTTCATAGCAGCTGTATTCATAATCACTGAAAACTGGAAACAACACAAATGTCCTTCAATCAGTGAATCAATAAACAAACTGCAGGATACTCATACAATGGTATTCAATCAAACACAAAGTAACAAACTATTAGTATACCCCAAAACTTGAATAAATCACAAAGGTATTATTTTGAGTACAAGAAGACAGCCTCAAAAGGTTACCTACTTTGTAATTCCATTTATGTGTCATTCTCAAAAAGACAAAACCACAATGATGGAGAAAAGATCAGTGGCTGCCAGGATTAGTGGAAGCAGGTAGGCGTTATCATGAAGGGATAATGAGGGAATGTGGGGGTGTAATGGAATTGTTCTGTATCAAGACTGTAATGGTGCTTACATGAATCTCTATGTGTTAAAATTCACAGACATCTATATAAAAAAAGGCCAATTTTACTATAATTAAAATAAATAGCATTTCAAAGAAATCAACTAATTGTACTTACACATTCTGAGAGCAGTTACAATACTGTATACAGCCAATTATTTTTAAAATTTGTTTAACAGTACTTGCTAGTGGTGATAACAAGTCAACCAATCAAGTGACTTAAAAACTCTTTAAATCTCTACTAACTTTTTAATAAAAAAAAAACTTACCAAGTTCATTGAGACTCTGAGCAGCTTTTGTTATCTCTCTACTTCCCCCTTGCAGTTGTCCTTGGAGTCTCTTACTGAGATTCAGGATACGAATAATTCTCCGAAGCAAATCACAGGCAACCTGTGCAAACAACACAATGCTAAATTAGTTGATCCACGAAAATTTATCACTTTTTTTTTTTAAAGAAAGAAAGAGAAAGAGAAAAGGGGGAGAGAGAACAGGAGTCTTGCTCTATTGCCCAGGCCGGAATGCAATCTAAAAGTAGGTATTAAAAACCTCTTTTATGCCGATAATTGTGCTTAACAGCAGAGACAGGAAGGAATAAGGAAAGAAAATAACAAACAGCCAACCATTATTTCATTTAAATCTGTGAAGTGCTATACAAATGCTAAAGAGTGATTTGCTTCCATTTATGTGGTCACTTACAAAACAGGTGTAACGTGATACTAAAAAAAAATGTACATTCTGTGGACCTAGGGTGAAAAATTCTATAAATATTGACTGAGTTTATTTGTTCCAGGTCTGAGTTCAAATCATAAATGTCCCTATTCATTTTCTACCTCATTGATCCGTTGAATATTAACAATGTGGTGCCAAAGTCTCCCGCTATTATTGTGCGGGAGTCCAAGTCTCTTTATAAGTCATTGAAAACTTGTCTTATGTATCTAGGTGCTCCTATATTCGGTACATATATATTTATGATCATTAAATCCTATTGTTGCATTGATCCTTTTATCCTTATGTAATGTCCTTCTTTGTTTCTTTTAGTCTTTGTTACTATTAAAGTCTATTTTGTCAGAGACGAAAGTTACAACTCCTTTTTTTTCCTCTCCCTTTGATTGGTGAGTCTTTCTCCAACCTTCCATTTTGAGTCTTTGTGTGTCCTTGCTTATGAGATGGATCTGGATACAGAGTGCCGATGTGTTCTGACTTTTTATTCAGTTTGTGTGTCTGTGTCTTTGATTGGGGCATTTAATCCATTTAAATTTCGGATTAATATTGATATTTGTGAGTTTAATATTGTCATTTAATGCTAGCTGGCTATTTTGCCCATTAGTTGATATAGATTCTTCATTATGGGGATAGCCTTTACCTTTTGGTACGTTTTTGGGATGACTGATACTGGCTGTTCCTTTCTGTGTGTAGTGCTTCTTTCAGAAGTTCTTACAAAGCAGGCCTGGTGGTGATGAAATCTGAGTGCTTGCTTGTTCGTGAAAAATTTTATTTTTCCTTCATTTATAAAGCTTAGTTTGGCTGGATATGAGATTCTGGGTTGAAAATTCTTTTCTTTGAGGATATTGAATATTGAGCTCCTACTCTCTTCTAGTTTGTAGGGTTTCTGCTGAGAGATCTGCTATAAGTCTGATAGGCTTCCCTTTATGGGTAACCTGACCTTTCTCACTAGCTGCCCTTAGAATTTTCTCCTTTATTTCAACCCTGGTGAATCTAACAATTATGTGTCTTGGGGTTGCTCTACTTGAGGAATATCTTCATGATGTTCTCTGTATTACCTGGAGTTGAGCATTGTCCCACCTTACTAGGTTAGGAAAGTTTTCTTGAATAATATCCTGAAGAATATTTTACAGCTTGGATTCATTATCTTCATGACATTAAGGTACACCTATCAAACGTAAATTAGGTCTTTTCACATAGTCCCATATTTCTTGGAGACTTTGCTCATTCCTTTTTACTTTTTCTTCTCTAATTTTGTCTTCTCATTTCATTTCATTAAATTGGTCTTCGACCTCTGATATCCTTCCTTCTTCTTGATCAATTCAAGTGTTAAAACCTGTATATACTTCACAGAGTTCTGGTATTGTATTCTTCAGTTCCATTAATTCCCTTATGTTCCTCTCTAAATTGTCTATTCTCCTTAGGATTTCGTCAAACCTTTTTTCAAGGTTCTTAGTTTCTTTACATTGGGCTAGAACATGTTCTTTTAACTCACAGAAGTTTTGTATTAACCACCTTCTGAAGCCTAATTCTGTTATTGGAACACACTCATTCTCCATCAGGCCTTGTTCCCTTGTTGATGAGGAACTATGATCCTCTGTAGAGGGAAAAGCATTCTGATTTTGAGAATTCTCAGCCTTTTTATGCTGGTTTCTTCCCATCATTGTAAACTTATCCACCTGTCATCTTTGTAATTACCGACTTTCAAGTTAGGTCTCTGAGTGGACGTCCAACTTGTTAATTCCCAGTGCTGAAATCTGAGCAACCACTGCGCCAGCTAAAATAGCAGCATCAAGATTCTTGGTGCTTTTCTGCCCGGGAGTCTCCAGTCTGGCTTCCCTCCTGAATCCCTTCTTCAATCAGCTGAATGGGCAACTCTACCCTCGCGGAGCTCCAAACATTGACCAGAAGGGGACCCAGTCCCATTTACTCTGCACTGAGAACTGCCACGCCAGGGTGCCGGCAAAACCGCCGCACTGGCCACAAGAGTCACGCTGGTCACCCAGGGCGCTCCTCCACTGGGAATCTCCTGGTCCGTGAGCAACAAAAATTCGTCTGAAAGTGTGGCATCCTCTCGTTCTCTGCACTTTCACTGGGAGCTACAAGCCTGAGCTTCTAGTGATCAGCCATCTTGGATCTCTCTGTTGCTCTCTCTATTGCTATTATTAAATAGCAATAACAAGCACAGAGGGTTGAGATAGGTGCAGAAAATCACCATGGCACATGTTTACCTATTAACAAACCTGCACATATATCCTGGAAATTAAAATAAAACTTAAGAAAAAAAAAACAAGCACAGTGGTTCACACTTTGCTTATATGTGAATCTGCCCATTCCTTCCAGATGCTAAAGATTCACTCATGCTTTGTTTCCCACCAATGGCAAACCTAAATAATCACAAGTCTTAAAAAGCATCAAATCTCCTAGAGAACACACAAAGAAGTACTATATTTACATTTTACAATAAACTCCAATTTATCTCAAGTGGAGAAAACTTGGAACTGAGGCACTGTGAGAGCCAAGGATTCTTTCAGTCCTAAACCAGTTTTATTCTCTAGCCCATTGGTTCTCAGTCTTGACTACAAATTCAAGTGGGTAGATTCAAAACATTCTAATGCCCAGGCCACAGCCCTGACCAATTAAATCAGCATCTCTAGGGATGGGAACCAAGCATAAGTTATGTTTTTAAGATTCCCCAGTGGCACCAATGTGCAGCCAAAATTGACAACCACTATATTATGCTGCTTAGCTTCTTACTACTGCCTCCTGCTATTTACAATTCCAACTTCTCTTTTCTAGATACCCGCCTGAGTAGTCTTAAAACTTTTCTTGCGGAGGGATCCAAGATGACTAAGTAGAAGCAGCTCTGGACTGCAGCTCCCAGTGAGAGTGCAGAAGGTGTGTGGCAGTTGCATTTCCAGACAGATTTTTATTGCCCACAGACCAGGCTGAAGGGCGCCACAGGTCTCCAGCACAGCTGTTTCAGCTGGCACAGGGGTCTCCACACAAAAACTCACATGGGTCTAGGTGCCATTTCAGCTGGCGACTGGAGCACCTGGGAGACAGAGTCGCCCATTCAACTGATAAAAAGGGGACTGAAACTGGGAGCCAGGCCAGGAGATTCCTGGAAGACAAAGTGCCACGAGTCTCCAGCATGGCTGTTTCAGCCAGTGCAGTGGGTCTCTGCACAAAATCTCACACAAATCTGGGTGGCATATCAACTGATGACTGGAACGCCTGTGAGACAGAGTCACCTGTTCAACTGGAAAAAAAAAATGGGGTCTGAGGCAGGTAGCCAGGTGATCAGGCTCGGCTGGTCCTACCCCCACAAAGACCAGCAATCTGAATCACTGTGGATTGAGTTTCACAGCAAGCACAGCTGAACCCAGGATGGTCCAGCTCTGTGGGGGAGGGGCGTCTGCCACTGCCAAGGCGGGCCGCCACTGCCAAGGCAGGCCGCCACTGCCGAAGCAGTTCTAACTATACCAATATAAACAGGACTGCAGGGAAGTACATACAGCAGCTGGGCAGAGCCCACAGCAGCTCAGCAACAACTCTGCTGGCAGACAGTGACTAAGCTGCCTCCTCACTGTGCAGGGCATCCTTCAAAAAAAGGAGCAGCATGACAGAAACTTATAAATAAAGTCCTACCTTCCTGGGACAGAGCACCTGGGGAAAAAAAGGCAGTTATGAGTTCTGCAGCAGGAGACGTAAACGTACCTGGCCAAGCAGGTCTGAATGGAAGAACGGAGCTCACAGCTCAGCACTTGAGCTCCTATAAAGGACAGACTGTCTTCTCAAGCAGCTCCCCGACCCCTGTATATACAAAGAGTCATTCATCTCGAAAAGGAGAACTCAGACATATCTGGTGGGTATCCTTCTGGGACAAAGATAGCAGAAGAAGAAACTGGCAGCAACCCTTCCTGTTCTGAAGCTGCTGCAGGTGATCCCCAGGCAAGCAGGGTCTGGAGTGGACCTCAGCAGTCCTACAGCAGAAGGGCCCGACTCTTAGAAGGAAAACTAAGAAACAGAAATAAATAACTTCATGATCAACAAATAGGACATCCACTCAGAGACCCCATCTGAAAGTCACCAACTACAAAGACCACAGGTAAATATATCCACAAAGATGGGAAGAAAACAGCACAAAAAGGAAGAAAATATCCAAAACCAGAACACCTCTCCTCCTACAAGGGATCACAACTCCTCACCAGCAAGGGAATGAGGCTGGATGGAGAATGAGTCTGATGAATTGACAGAAACAGGCTTCAGAAGGTAGGTAATAAGAAACTTCTCTGAGCTAAAAGAACATGTTCTAACCCAATGAAAACAAACTAAAAATCTTGAAGAAAGGCTTGACAAAATGCTAACAAGAATAAACAGCTTACTGAGGAATATAAATGAATTGATGGAGCTGAAAAACACAACACGAGAACTTCACAAAGCATACACAAGTTTCAATAGCCTAATTGACCATGCAGAAGAAAGGATATCAGAGGTCGAAGATCAACTCAATGAAACAAAATGAGAAGGCAAGATTAGAGAAAAAAGAGTAAAAATAAATGAACAAAGCTTCCAAGAAATATGGGATTATGTGAAAAGATCTAATCTACATTTGATAGATGTACCTGAATGTGACAGAGAGAATGAATCCAAGCTGGAAGGCA